CGTCCGGCGACGAAGACGGCGAGGAGACATTATCGGAGGTGAATTCCTTCGACGATTTTCCACCCTCGCACGTCGAGGCTGACCCCTTCGCTGCATACGACGGCCGTGACATGCGGCGACGGGGCCCGGACTTCGTGAATGACAACGATCAACGTGACAACATAGGCAAGCGCGAGGAAGCTTCCATCGTCGACGAATATCGTGCCCGACGCGATTGAGAATTTGGTTGTGATTATGGTCGATGGGAGGGCCCGTTTCGTGTAGACATCCCCGAATTCGACGAAGAGAATGTTGACGGGCCATTGTACGATGGTCCTCCTGTGTTTGATGAAGGGCCCGAGGAGGTCGAGGAGTGTCTTACCGGCAAAGTGGACGGTATCTACGACGGTCCGCCTATTTTCGATGAAGAGCCTTTGGGGCCCGAGGTGACGCTTTCTGATTTTGGCTTGTGTAAGCCACTGGAGAAATATATGTTACTAGCAGTTGCTGATTTTATTGCTCCATACTCTAAAAATGAGCACCATGGGCATTTGGGCGCAGAAACTGCGCTATAACAGTGGAAACACAATCATCGTTCATTGGCATGTCGCAAGATAATAAATTGGAGACCATGTTTGAAGTTCGAAGAACAAAAAATGTCTTATGAGGCTAAAGATCTAATCCTCAATTTGTTATGTGAAGTTGAGCAATGTTCAACCTTCGTGTTTGACCGGGAAAAATGACTGGATTTGCTACCATGAGTTCGACACCACACGCCGGCCACGGGAGCGCATCGGCTTCGAGGGCGAAGCCTTCCGAACTAGGGGAGAATGGTGTAGAATATTATTATTATTATTATTATTATTATTATTATTATTATTATTATTATTATTATTATTATTATTATTATTATTATATTGGAGAATAAGTTAGGAATTAAATATTACAGATCTTGTCTTGTTGGACAAGTTAGGAATAATGTTTAGGAGTCTTATTTAAAGGGCTCCCCCATCTATTGTTTTATTCAGTTGAATTTGAGAATGAATTAAATTGTTCGTGTTTTTTTGGGAGAGTATCCCAAGTTCGAGAGAGTATCTCGTTTTATCCTTCCCATTCGTATGCTTTCCCTACATCAGTAGTATTCTTCTAGTGAACGGCAAATCTTAAACAACATGTGACTACTCAATTCATTGAACTTTTCACATATCAAATAGTACTTGCATATTATAGCAGTAAAATACTCAAATCCTACCTAGTAAGTAAAATCAAGTAATACCTAATTAATTACGAATAAAAGAAACTCACACCTATTAAAATTCACAAGTTAAAACAAAAACAACAATAAAAAGTGCAATGCAGTTCAAGAAAAAGCTGGAGTAGTCTCATTTCTGAAATCCTCCATATTGGTATTGTTGGCTGCTTAGGCCCGAGAAAAAATCATCGTTCGTTGTTGAAGTTGAAGTTGAAGTTGATGTCGATACGAAGGCTGATTTACCAGCTCCAGAACCAACACCCATTGCATTACCTGTGTAAAACGAAGGCAAAGATCCCTTGTTGTTTCCCTCTGATCCATCAGTCAACCCCCCAACAACACCAACGTCTGCTAAGTTCACCTTCTTCGCTGCATGATCAGATGATAAAAAACAGAAAAATATACTAGTCAGCATAAACCATAATATATGCATTTAAGTACCACACTGTAGTTCTCTTTCCCAAGCATCCATTACTTCTTTACGAAGTAACATAACACTACTTGAGGTGTGCACGCCAAATTTTAACCGAAAGACTTCAGTCGAGCTCTTCTTCAAAATATTATCTCATGAGATGTTTGACAGCTTATAAGATGTGTTTGGAAGTTTTCGAAGTTATGTTAACATCTCATAAGATTGACAGCTTACACTATCGACAGGCGGGCCGTCAATGACAGAGATACTTACGTGCAGTTATGTTAAGATCGATCAATCCACGGGTCAAAGAATCAGCCCATATTCCCGATTTGACTTGGAATGCCTTTTTGGGTGGAGACTTGGCCTCAGGCAAAGATTCACTAATTTCCCGGCGACTTTCGTCATTAGGAGGATTTTTGTCGGACACTGTCGATAGAGGATCCATTTGAGAAGTGATTGGTCCCAACGAGGTGGGCTTGTCAAATTCGTTGTTAGGAACTGGAGCAAATGGGTCGAGTGCATTAGTAATTTTATCAGGTTTAGAAGGTTCATTGTCGAGCTGGTTAACTGGTTTGGGCACGGAGAAAAAATCTACTGTAGAAGGAACAGCTGAAGTGGGCTGGTTAGCAAATAGATCAATATTGGTCTGCAAAAATGAAACACGGTTAGTTAACATGAGTAGATGTGTTTGTAACTGTATTTTAATTTTTAACCAACACAATGTTTTACATGTCAGGAAAAGGCCATTTCTGTAACTTCTTGTCTTCCAAAAACCCAATTCAAATAAAGTTTTTTCTTATAGGATACAAGTTTCCATTTTGCATACACGGTTCAAAGTAAGATATCATGGTCATGTGACAATAATAATGAGAAGGTTGTTGGAAAACATTGTTAGGTGTCCCCATAGTCTTAAAACTCATCTCTTTGAGATACTGAATATCTTGAGAACAAGTTGATAAACAAGATAGCACCTCCCAGCACTAGATAAATTGAAAAGACACTTTTTTTTTGGAAGAAACATGAGAGAGAGCGAGAG